TCAATTCTCGACATGAGTAGGCCAGGTACGCTGCCACCGTCGCGGGTGCATGCATGGTCTCATCGAAGTATCTCTAGAGGGCCGCCCTTCAAGAGATTTCTAACAAATTTTCCAGCCCGATTTCATTTGCCTCCGAGGACATCACGGTACCATATTCCTTCCGATTCAGATTAGAGTCCTCCGTCAGTTCCTTCAAGTACTCCTGCATGGCGTGCTTTTCGCTCCAGGCAATCAAATGCACTCTTGCTGAGTTTCTCGACTTGAGCATCTCCACATAACCCCCGGCGGGATCCCTCCCCCATGTGGACTGAGTCGGGTACTGTGATCCGACTGTACTCGACCACGCCGAGTTGTCCCTCCAGTTTCATCCGGGCCACGTTTGTCCCCGAGGATTTGTAGTCACCGAGCCCTTCAGATCCACACTGACTGTTGACCTCCAATTCAAGCTTTGTATCCGCCAAGGTCCGTGCATTTTTCTTCGACCTCGTGGCTGTTGAGGTCAAACCTGCCAATAGCATAGGGGGTATCAGGTTTTCTTTCTCTCCCCCAGCCGACGCCGCACCATCTCCCTGTCCACTCTCACTTGGACGAGCTCCTTTTGCCAAAGAGGCCACTACTGCATTCGCCTTCGACTTCACTACTTTCTGATTCACTATCTTGCTTCCTGTTCTCCCCTTCAATCTCTTCAGCCCTTTCTTGGCTCGCCTGATGGGTAGTTTTCTCATGATCTGATGATCATCAGCACTGTCCTCTGAAACTGACTCGGTCAGAACGTCAGACTCTGTGAAGCTCATTAGCTTCCCTAGAACCTCGAGCATGATGGGTTGGTTGAACCCCACCTTCCCTACGGACTGCGTCCCGTATCTGCGTATCACGTCCCATGTCGTTTCCATGAAGGTCCCTCGGTTCCAGGTCACTCCCGCTTTCCGTTCAAGTTCGCCAACATGTCAGTTTTATATTGTCCTCAACCGCTGGGATCCGGACGGTACCAGAGCAGCAAACTGTTTGGCTCAATTCCCTCCGTCGGCGTGGCACTCGTAGATGGGCTTCATGCAGAAGTAGGAGCCGTCGCGGGCGGGTTACTCGTCCTCGCTACGGTTTGAGAGCTAGTCTGACTCTGATCAATTGGCCTCCAAAGTAGGCTCTCTAACGGTTATCTTCTAGAGGGAGGAGCAGTCCCCAGTCTATCTTTTACGTCTGAGCTTGGAGCAACGAGAGCAGTTGCACCCTTTTCCATTGCTAGGGGCCCGAGACGACTAGCGAGTGGTTCCGGCACGTTGTCCCTCACTCTACCTCCTCCAGTCGAACTGGGAGTATGTTGTCCTCAATTCCTGCTCCATTTGCTCAATTTTCGTCCGAAACATGTCATTTATCCAACGCCTTCCTTGTGCTGTATTTAAATGTATCCCATCCCTGGTGAATGCGAGATGGTCAGTCATCCACAGCGTGTTCTTGAGATCCATGAGTCGCAGCTCGGTAGGATTGCTCCTCGCCAGATTGCAGGTCATGTCATTCCATCGGGTCACATTGCCATTCGTAAAATGCTCCACTGGCGTACCCACCTCCGGATTTTGTGGGATTGGGCACAGCACCACGAGTCTAGGTCTGTACTTTTCTTTCAATTCATTCAAAAGGCAGACCAGCAGGGGTTCCCATTTGCCCTCTGGGGTAACAGGAACCCTTGAAACATCATTAGTACCAAGCATTATCACCAATGTGTCTAACTGATCCTCGCTCTGGAGCTCCATCATTTTAATGACTTGAGCCACGGAGGCCCCTCCAAAGATAGAACAGTGGTCTGGCCACTCACAAAGATCTCGTTCAGATCCCTCACGAGAGTATCTCCAACAACCAAATGACGACTCCCTGGAGGAATTGCCTGATTGCTTATGGCAGGGCTCAAGCTCATGCCGTTCAGGCAGGCTCGAGGATTCTCCGCAGCTACTTGCAGGAATAAGTTGCGGACCGCCAAGTTCTTCCTGACGTCCACTACGCGAGATCTCAAAGCCGTCTCGCCACGTGTAGGTCCCGTTGGCACTATGGCTCGTGACGTTCGTTCGGAGTTACTCAAGGATCGATCAAGGGGTTGGGAAGGGACGACCCTACTCAGAGTTCGTCCACTGGTCCTGTTGATTTCGTCCATCGTCGCTCTGGCTACCTGATTGAATGACTCCTGGAACTGAGGAGCCAAATAGGTGTCTGAAGGATCCGGTATCGTGTTCTTAGAGCTCAAGGCAGATTGTGATCTCCTGTGCCCTCGTCCTGGGAAGCGTATCCCTGGATCCATCCGAGGAGTTCATCGTTGCCAGAACCGCCGGTGATGTTTGGCTCACCCTTGCCATATATAACTCTCTTAGGTGTTTTATCTTTTCTTCTTTGAAGGTTATTTGCATTTCATCGTAATTTTTCTTCCATTCGTCTCTTTCTCAACCTATTGCCTTGAACTCCTCCAACTTGGCATGCAGTTCCTTACAGTCCTTCTCCTTCTTTTCTAAAGTTTCAATAGTCTCCGAGGTCCGAATCTCCATCTCACTCATCTTTAATCTCTTCAGTGGAGGAGCAGCCGTTGGAGAATCTGCTGATTGTGACGGGCCCGGCCCATCACATGATCGTTTCGCTCCAATAAGAGGCTGCACTGGTCGAACAGGTAGGGGCAGCTCACCTACGCGGTGATCCCTCTGCTAGCCTAGTCCCGGCTCACGCCTTTCTCCTCGCCGCTATCTCATCAGTCGGTTTCGGCCTCTCTCGGAGGTCCCGGACTCGCCGTAGGCCAACATTAAGACTACTTCCGTGGGACGATCCCCACGACCCTCTCGTCCTAACGCGTTGAGGAGTGCGACGGTGAATCTTGCGCAAAGTTGCATTCAATCAATCGATGGGGTATCTCGCCCAGAGTCCAGAGTCGTCCGCTGAGATGAAATCTATCAAATCATATCTGTCACTCATCTTTCTTCTTGTATGTCTTGTCCTACTCTTCTGATTGTTCAAAGTCAGTAAACAAAGTGGGATCAATCAAGATCTAAAAAAAAACAAGTCACGACTTAGAAAAATTATTCCCAGCTGTTCCTTTTAAAAATTATCCATTGAAACTCTCTTTTGTTCTTCATTTAAAAGCTAGCACCAAGGTGGATCTTCCACCTGCGGTCTTGTCAAGATAACACAACTGAGCGCTGTCACCTTTCGTACCTGGAGTGTTCCAGGCTTCAATGACATAAACATCAAATAAAAAATAACCTAAAAATAACATAACATACAAATATCACACATCAACACTATCACAAAACAACCTAAACCCTAATAGTTAACCTAAAACCTAATCCTAGTGCCTAAAAAGCAAACCTAACAACAACTACTTAACATTTAATTTGGCTCCAGCATATGCTCGGATAATACTTTTTATGTAAGTAGACCCCTATGTCCGTTTCTGAAAATATTACATGTATGAGGGTATACAGTTCTCTCGGATGCAGTTTTCCCTTATTGGGATCATAGACTGGTAAAGAGAGGGAGGTCACTCCTCTCTCGACCAGGAAGTCCCTGAGTTGAGTTAAGGCCAGCACCAAGTTTTCGGGACTTACAATTTGCTTGTCAGTGGCCTTAGTTACTAGGAAGCATAAATATTTCCCTGGTATCTGTGATGCGACAGGGGGCAGCGCTATCATCCCTCCCAGACCAGGTCTATGTTTTCACAAAAATTCGATATTTTTATACTCTCTCTTAAAGTCGGCCGCTAGTGATGTCTTAAAACTTACATCCGCGGTTATCGCTATAGCGCAGGTACGTTCCGTGAGTATGAAATCGCTGTCCGTGACGACAACATTGTTTGAATAGTGGTTTGGTAGATCAAAATAAAATGCAAAAACTCGTCCGCGTTTTGGCCCTCCGTTTCCAGCTCTCCGGTTTCCTTCTCCGATTTTAATTTCTTAATCATCAGTTTATTTGGTGTGGGTTAGTCCTGCCCCCACTCCCCGGATAAAATTATCCATCGACGTCCCCATCGATTGCCCAAAGTTGAGCAGATTGAGATAGGATTCTGGAACACGTAAAGGAACATCTGGAGCGACCCATTTGGACTCAGTATTGTCATGACTGATGTAATTGATGCCATCTTTATCGACATCCTGAATCGTCAAGATTGTCTCTTTGGGATCTGCTGGCAGATCATGGAGCCATTCGAGTATTCGCAGATTTGTCAGTTCTTGCTCATGCATCTGCTCGGTCTCCGGTTCGAACTCAACTTCCGAATCAAAGCAATCGTCTATCCAATCCTGTTATGTGTCGTTGACTAGGTCGATCTCTGATGGCACCACTTCTTCGTCCAGTACCATTTGCGAGTCCATCGTGCTGCTCAAAATTATCCTGTTTATGACAAAATCCTCACCATACGGGTTGTACTTCTTCTTGCTTTTTCGCTCTTTTGCTCTGGCGTGTTTCCATGGTGAAGGGAAAGTCAGGCTGTACTATTTTATCAATTTCAGTTTGTTTTGGCCAGTCCCAGTCTTCTTCGGCATATGGAAGAGTTTCGTCGTCCACCTCCACTGGTCCGGTTAACTCCAGGTCCAGTGGCAGATCGCAAATATCTACCACCTTATTCACGTCGTTTTTGTCGCGCGTGCCTCTTTCATTCACCTCGCACATAGGATCCACTATTAAATAATCTTCCTCATGCATGTCAGCTGGGATACACCTGTCCTCTGATGAGGCATTGTCTCCCGCTCGTCCGGTGCTCAATCAATAAAAACGACCTCCTTGGTGTACTTCAGATATTTAAAATGGACCACGACATTTTTCAGTAATTTTTTGGTCCCCTTTGGTGGAACTACTTCCTGGAACACCCAGACATAATCCGCGACCGAGTGAGCTTTTGCACCCGCAGTCCTTTTATCAAATCTCCTTTTTTGTCTGATTTGCGCCTGTTGCGTGTTCCTCCTGCATAAATCATTGAGGTCCTGCTGCCTTCTGATCACATCACGCACGTACGTTTGCGGTGTTGTTTTCTTTCATTCGTACTCAGGGTAGAAGAATGTTAATGGAAGAGCTTTCTCGTGGCCAGTTAGCATCACATGTGGGTTTATTACCGTGGTGGAATGTTCTGTGCTGTTATAGGCGCCCATCACTTGCGGCAAGTGTCTATACCAGTCATCCATGTATCGTGAGCAATAAACTCTCAACATGGAAACCAACGTGCAATTTTGTTTTTCAATTAGGCCATTCGCTTGTGGTTGATAATTGGTCAAGTGGGCCTGCGCCACTTGCGACCTCTTCATTAACTTCTTCATGAGATCACCAACGAATGCTTTGCCATTGTCTGATTGGAATGTGATGGGGCAACCGTGTCTCGCTATCCACATATTTATCAAATGATCGCACGTTTGATTGTAGCCCGTGTTCAAATGATCGCAACCAGCATTTGATTGTAGCCCGTGGCTTTCATAAATATTTTTTGGTGATCGGTTTGCACCACCTCATTGAATCCTGAAGACTCTATTGACTGCAGGGGGAACCTCAGTTTCCTAGGCTCATTTGCCTGTTGACAAGACAAGCATGCCGAGATCCATTTTTCACAGGCCTTTTTCAAGCCCGGCATTTCGAACCGTTTCTGTATCCTATTATACACTTTGTCCACGACCTGATGGCCCATCTGATCATATGAACGAAAGAGCAATTCAGTCTGATACAAATACAGTAGCACTATCGAGTTATACTTGTAAAGAGCCTTGTCCTCTTCCTTGCGCTTACAGGCCACGATCCGGTCTTTGTTCAAGTACAATAAATCCTTTCTCTTCAGATAAAATTGCTTCAAGATCTTATAGCTGTCTTTCTCTGGATCTACTTTGTCAGGTGCTCCGTTCTCGATCCATCTCTTTAAATTGTTAGTCATTCTATCATTTCGTTGAGCCCTTAAGAGATCTGACAGCCGGTACCTGGCTTTCAGATACGTCTTTACCACGTTTAATTGCCCGCTTTTTTTCTCCGGGGCATGGGCATCATCCATCAACTTGACACACCATTTCAAAGGTGTTGCTTCCTGCACTGATGTTTCCAGGTTGGTACGGACGACCGTAGCATTCGGAAGTAATCTGGTCGGTTGTTTCGACACTGCTATCAGTTCAAGCTCATCTGCGGCATTATCCACTACAGTGCCCTTCTCATCGGAGCTATACCTGTCTCTGTCCGGGTCCTGATGCCTTTCCCGATCCAACCCGCGCTGTTTCCGTTCCACTAACAAGGATTGAATCGCAATCTCCGAGACGTCAGAATTGGAAGTAGTTTCCGACGTATTCTCCCAGGACTGAGTCCTGGAGTCATCACTCGAGCCGATGGACTCCATATCATTATATTCCAACTTGTTTGTGATGCTTCTCGACTCTCCGGAAAAAAAATTGTCCCATGGTTGCTTCGAATTCGACCCCCCGGACAAAAATCTGTGCCTTGTTCGCTTTGAATTCGGCTCCCGGACAACTTTCTGTCCTTCGGTTGTCTTGACATTGTCCCCTCGGACAAGTCCTCCTGTCCGGGCCCGAAAACGCATGACTCCCCGGACAATGTTTCGTCCCCAGATGAACAGTCCGAGCACGGCTCGTACTCTTCTTTTGCTTCTGTGAATTGAATTTTTCTCGTCACGCTGGATTTTGACTTCACCCTGACTTCCTCAGTGGTTTGGACATGGGTTGCTTCCCGATGTTCCGTGTACGAAGTCCTCAACAAGACATCCTTCCGCATCGATTTCACTAGCTGAATCACTATCGACCGGCAGTCCCGTTCAACATCCCGACTCCGGATGGCCACCGGCCTTTTCTCCGTTCTTTCAGTGATGGTCAACCGCTGCATGGTCTCCATCCACTCATGATCATGCCTATCGACTTCTCTATCTAGCAAGTCACGGAGATTCCTCATGACGCCCGGCGCCACGCTCACTGCCCTATTTAGCAAGGCTATGCTGTTTACACCAAGCCTGGTAAGCTTTTGCTGTACTAGGTTTGATCGAACTAGCAAATTCAGCGGGACAGGATCACCCCTGGCCAACACTTTTATTAGAGCAGCCGTCTCCACTGGAATTTCAGGATGTCTTGGTATAGGGTGCCCTGGCTTGTCAAATCCCTGGTGAGTGGCAGTTTGTCGTACGTTTCCTTGTCCCGGAATGAAAATCCACCTCTGATTTCAGCTTGATTGGCCTGCTTCTCCTCTAATCGCTCATAAAACTCCGTTTTTTGCTGAGGCTATCGGCATTCTGGTGCTTGTCACGGGTTCGATGCTCTATGATCATGTGGTATCCCCCAGGCGCACGATCCTACGACCAATGTAGCTTTGGTCCATCGAATATGCTTTCAGCCACGCAAGAGCACGATTGTGCACACGCAACTTGGAGGGAGCACTCCCTAAGGAGGCTCTGTGTTTTTCCACGAAGGTGATCACCGCGAACCTCTCCGCTCTTGGTGCACCATACTTCAATTCAGTGTCGCTCAGGACCTTACTTCCATAGGCTATTGGTCGGAGAACGGTTCTCCCGTTTCACTCTTGTTCTTGGTGAAGTATGCCCGATATCACAACCACTGATGCGTCCTTGTCTAACACGAATATCCCCTTTTTCTGTCGGCATGCCGAGGACTGGAGCCTCGCAAAGTTCGCGCTTAGTTTTCTCAAAGGAGACCTGAGCCTCGTCAGTCCAACAGAATTTTTTGCCTTTATTTCGCGTCAGCTTCTGCATGGGGTATATCTTGTCAGCATACCCTTTGATAAAATCTCGGTGGTAGTTAGCGAACCCGAGGAAACTCATCAATTGCGTGTCGGTCTTCGGTGCTTTCCATGTCAACACCGCTTCAACCGCTTCGGGATTTGGCCTGACTCCGTGTTTATCCACGAGACGACCCAGATACTTGGTTGAGTCTCTCTATATGGTCCTCCAGCTTTGGTGTCGCAATGATCACGTCATCAACATAACACATTATGAGATTGCCATATTTTTTAGTCATATTTGTGAGTGCTGGGGAATCGGGTATGTGTCCATTATCGTTATTGCATTCAGGTAGCGGAAATCGCAACAAAATCTAAGTTGCCCCCCTTTCTTTTTTGCCATGACCACGCCGCAAGCCCACGGGGACTTCGACGGTTCGATCATGTCATACTTCATTAACATTTCAATTTCTTTTCTGCATGGTTCGGACTTGTGTGGGGTCATTCTCCTAGCCCCTTCCCTACGAGGTACCGAACCCTCTAATATTTCTATCTCATGTTCTACAAAATTGCAGCAGACTATATCAGCCTTATGCTTCGAAAAAACGTCTGCGTTCCGATTTAACACCGCTCTGAGTGAGTCCAGTTCCTTTCCGATACTTTGCTTTTTAGATGCTCTATCTCAGGTAGGACTAGTTTGTTCGCTGCTAATTCTGTTTATGTCGGTCTCTCAGGAAAATTTGAACTACTAGACAGCACATCGTTTCTCTCTGATTTCATTGAAAACAATTTTTTAGAAGATTTCAGTTCATTTATCCTCGTTAAGATGCATTCCTGGTTGGCATGTAAGAACTCTTAGCTACGTCAAATCTCTTAAAATTCTCCACACTCTGATATCTGATTTCAGAGGCAGTGCGTAGCCAAGCTTCTTTCCTCGTTGTATCGCTACCGTGGTTGCCTCTGTGTTCAACAACACACTCAAACACAGTCCGCTCTGAGTGAGTGAGAAGCTTCTTCCTAAAATAGCTGAGCTTTTACCGTTCGGATTAGGAACCAGACACAACTGTCTGTCGTTACTAAGCTCATTCAAGTTCCTCATCCTGAATGTCGCTATTAAAGCCTGATGTGGTTTTAACCTAACTCTCCTATCTAGAAAAATTTACACCTTTGGTTGGTTAATCAGAATTTTTAAATTGGTTTCTTTTCGTACTACCTTTCTGGGTCCTTGATTCTTATCAACCCGTCGTTGAGGTCAATCGTGACATCGGAGTTGCGCACGAAATCTCGTCCTATGATGAACTGGTTGGACTCTCGACAACCAGGGAACTCATCAAGATTCTCGACGACCAGGGAACTCATCCAGAGATGTCTCCCTCCCAGCTGCAACGAGATGATAGAAGTTCTCCCGGTCACGTATATTGCATCCTGATTAGCCGATGCCAGTCTGATATTAGTCGGAATCAGATCCGACCTATCAAAACCCTTGTCGGTCCAGGTGCTCACAGGCATGACACTGACCACTTCTCCGGTGTCTATTAGTCCTTTCACGGAGAGTTGTCTACCCTGCACGTCCAGTAGATGCGCGGCCAGGTCGGCTTCACAGCCTATGTGGACTGCCTCTTGTTCGAGCATGGCGTTGTGTCCGATTCGTCGGACCGTAAGATCTTCTCGACCGATGTAGATCCGACCTACCTGGTCACTTGCATCGGTCACGTGAGGCTTAGTGTAAATGTTTATGCCGTCCACATTCATCAAAATTCGGATATGGGCCATAGACTTCGATGTGATGTCCATCTACTTTCATTAGTCTAGGACCTCCTGCTGTGAGCAACGCTCGCACTGCCCTAGAGTCCAACTTGGGATCCTTCTCTCTCATGTAGTTCGCGTAGATGTCTAGGTATACTAGCGTGATCTTGGACCGCTCGCTCAAGTTCTTCACCACTTGATGGCCCGCGACCGATATGATCGACATTTATTTCGTCCCTTCTCTTGTCATGGCGAAGGTATTTCCCGAGCTGACATTCAACTTTAGACCCTGCTTCCTGGGTTCCTGGTTATCCTCTTCCTTCGTCGATCATCCCAGAATGTTAAGTTTCTCGCGCAGCTCTGTAATCTCTAACTCTGACCTCACCCACTTCTCAACCTCTTTGGTGACCAATTCTTGCTGAACATTCTGTAATGCGGTCCGTGCCGCTAGGCCATAATCCACTATGAGCGCACCGGCTGACTCTGCCTCCAGGCTCGAGGCAATCGCCTCATCAGGTAAGGTCTTAATTTTCATGGTTGTGAAGGTGCCTGTTATCACCTCTTTCTTCCGTGATTCGGCTTCATTCATCAGGCGGGATCAACTTGCCTTGACGCCCGAAAGTGCCTCTTTACGGCGAGGATGCTTCGCGTCTGCCACTGCATCCCAAAATTGAGTGCAATCCGATTTCAAGTGTCCCTCTAAATTGCAGAAGAAGCATCTCGGTCCATACTTCATTACGAGTCCTCTCACATACTCTTCGTGGTCGCATCAAGGTTGTCAAGAAAATGGCTTATCGCCTTCATGTTTTGTTTGTAAGTAGAACAGGCGGATACATGGTGATCCATCGAACCACAATTCGCACATGACATCCTCTTATCTATGTCGTCACGAGGTCTATACCAGCTGGAATTCGCGCCAGTGTTTGTTCCG